AGAGAGAGAGAGAGTCCTCAATCTTCTATAATATTTAACGACCCCCAAGCTATTATATTGCTGCTCCCCTTCCCCTTCATTAGCATAATTTGAGCTGCATAATATTATTCCTAAATCTGGAATTTCTGCTCTGTGTAGGTGGATTTAGAATGTGCAAATGGCCGCAACACTTTGGGCATATACAGCCACAAGAAACTCTCAGAGTGAGTTTTGTGCTTTTGAACTTGAGTACAATTTATTGATTGCCTTGCCTTACTTACCATAATGGTGACCAGAGAAGTTCATTTTCCACTCTTGACAATCCTTCTTAGCCTTCATTAAGATAAGCTCCTGCTGTGATTCAACTCAACCTAGATTCAACTGTTGTAACCAAGTACCATATTTAGTGAGGATGGGTTGCCCTTGCTTTTAGCATTTATAAAGCTGGAATTCCAGATGATAAATGTCTCCTCTAAAGGACAACTCACTTCTTCCCCTTGCACCTTGTATCTCTTTCTAGATGTGCTATTGTAATTTTTATCTCTTGCTATGAGCTCTTATGCACATATTATCCTTAGATGTGTGGGAATTGCAACATCTGCATTTGTAATGGCAGTTCTTGAAGGGAGCACCCACCCAGGTGTTTGGTTTCCTGAAGAGGTAAAAATGCAATTTACTGTGATCTTTATATATGCATAATATATTATTTGTAAAGAATTTGAAAATCTTTTATTCAATGCTTTGAAATTAGCCTGACACTTTTATGCTGTGTTTCTCACAGCCACAAGGAATTGCAATTGATGCAAGAAAACTGCTGTTAGAGCGAGCATCCGAGGGAACAATCAATTTTATAATGAACAAGTAATCTCTCTCTCTCTCTCTCTACTTGTGTGCGCACACACATATATAGGAAAGAGGCATCTGAGGGTGGACAGCAATAGTAACTGCCTCAGCTCAAAACTATAGCTATGGACCTTTTGGACCCCAAAATGTGACCAATTCATCCTGATTCTCTTGTTAAATAAACAAAAAAAGAGAAGAAGGAATTTCAATAATTATCCCAATTGTGAAATGGCGAGTGTCTATTTTTTTTTTACTGTCAGATCTGGGTAATGGTGGACTCAAAATTCACTATTTTAAATTTTATTGTATTTTTTATTATTCATCTTGTGATGGTGAGGCAATCTTCAAATTTGGTGTCAAACAAATCCCTTTAGGCCAGCATCGAAGCCATTTTAGATCTCCTGAAATGGACTGAGTTTTCTCTTTAAAGAAAAAAAAAGAAAAGAAAAAAAAACACAAGTTGCTATGGTTTCTATGTGTCAGTATTATTTTTCATGGTCCTGCTCTCTTGGTCCAAGATAGCTTGTGCAAAATATGTCCCAAAATATATTCGTAATGTCACCCAAAAATTAATTAGAGTGGACCTATAGCATCTGCCTTAGGGCAGACATCTATATATAGTCTAGGGTAATATGTATACATAGGGTCAAGGGTCTCTTTCTATTTGAAATAACTTCTTAAAGCCAATCTCTCTCTCTCTAACCCCCCTCCTCCCCCTCCCCCCCCCTCGTGCCCCCCCCAAACCACAACAAACCAAATGAAAAAAAAAGAAAAAAAGCCAAATATTGTCTTTGGTGGTGTTCTTTAGATTTTTATTTTTTTATTTTTTTTTGTACTTCCAGCTCAAATAATCCTGCCATAGATTTTGTTGTGAATGAATTCTTAATCTTGGTTGACACCTTCCTAATTTCTTGAAATTAAATTCTAAAAATAATTTAGACCAAATCAAATTAAGTGAATCAAATTGTAAGTTATTTTAATATTGATTCCTAATATAATTTTTTTATTGTTTCATGTGGGTTGGAAGAGCATGTGTATTTCCTATGTTGTCGCCATGTTGTTGCAAGTTGAATGTGGTTCTCATAAGCACTAAAGTTTAATCCCATTTCCATGTTTATTATCAACTTTTGTTGTTGTTAGATTTTAGTGCATTCTACGAGTGGTGTTTTTTTGCATGTTAATGTTTCTCAATGTTTATGCACTTTATACACAATGAATATAATTACATCATTACTTGGATGATTCTTATTTCTTGTTCTATTTTTGACTCTTCTTGAGAAATGTTATAATTTTTATTTATGAATTTTCATGCTCTTAAAAATGATTTCCAAGTAAAATTTCAAATTTTATTCTGGATTTTTAATTTCTTTAAATTATGAAGTCTTTTCTAAAGAAATAGGATTTTGGTTGTACGCTTTTATTTATTTATTTAAGGATTTCAGGTCAGAATATAGGATTTTAATACCTTCAAGATTTGTTTTTGACTAAATTTTGATCTTTTTAGTTGAAGTTTTTATATGTTTTTAGAAAATACAAGTTTCTAAAATTTAGTTTTCTACATAAATAGTATATCACTTTTAAGAACTTTTATATTGTTTGCTTACACACTTTTTGATTCAAAAACTATTTATGTTCAAATTTTTAAATAATTTTGAATTGTTTTGAAAATTATGTCATACTTTCAGCAAAAATTGGACATTAGCATTTTTTGGATTATTAAGGAATTTTATATTTTTAATTATGAATATTTTTCTTTAAAATATTTATCACTGTTTTTAATTACGAAATTGCTCGAAGGATTATATAGTATTTCTAAAAAAAATAATAGAATACAACTTTCTTTCTTTTGTTTTTTAAGAAAATCATGACAACTTTTTATTTTGTGTATAAGATTATTTAAAAACTGTGTTTTGGATCTTCTGGTAATTTTTAGAATTTTCATTTATGAAATTTTATGCTTTTAAATTGCTTATGAATAGTTCTTTAGTTATTTCATTCATCTTGCAATTGCTAATGAATACTATGTACCAGCAGTCTTTTTTTTTTGTTTCTTTATGAATTTTAAATTGTGGATTACGAACTTTTACAATTATCCTTTGGAATCATATACTATAAGACTATTTATCTTTATTACATGGTGGTCATAATTACTCCTAGCTATTAGATGTTCAATTGAATGGCTTGGGGTGTCACAAAGTTCAAGAAATTCTTTTTTGAACTTTGAGTCTAGTCAATGAGACATTCATAACCACCCAATTTGAAATCTGATGGACGTCAATGATTGTGACCTCCTTATACTAAAAGTAAATGGTGTCTTTGTATACTTTTCCTTATCTTTTTGGATCTTCTAAGAAACTTCATATTTTCAACTATTAAATTTTGTGCTTTTAATTTCTTATGTATAAATTTCTAGTTATTTTGGCTTTGAATGCAGATGATTGATATTAGTCCTCCATGACCATAGTTTGATAATGTCTTTTGAGTTTGAGATATCAATGAACTGCATTTTTACTTATTTATTCTCTTATATTTATGGTCTGAAACCATTTATGCTTTTCATCGATTGCTTATGCTCTTGATCACTTTTGAACGTATAATGAAATGATGTGCTTCATATATATTTGTTTGTTGATATCCATATTATTGGATTGAAAAGATATTCACTTTTATTAGATGCTTAATTCTCATATTTACATGTATAGAGCATGCGCTTTCCACTCGAGAAAAAGTTCATATAAGGTTGAGGCCCTTAACATTTTATGGTCTGAAACCATTTTATGCTTTTCATCAATTGCTTATGCTCTTAATCACTTTTGAACGTATAATGAAATGGTGTGCTTCATATATATTTGTTTGTTGATATCCATATTAGTGGATTGAAAAGATATTCATTTTTATTAGATGCTTAATTCTCATATTTACATGTGTAGAGAGCATGCGCTTTCCACTAAGGAAAATATTCATACAAGGTTTGAGGCCCTTAACAATCAAACCAAGGCACACCTCAAAAATTCACTAGAAGTTGTTTCGATGCTGAAAAACCGTCAAATCTGATCATCTCGACCTTGAGATACATGGATGTAAAAAAATGGACTTCAAATCTTCGAAGTAGTGCATCTTGCAATATATTATCTAGACCGTCAATTTGCAAGATTTTCAATTGTTCGTAGATATGCTTGATCTACGATATTTTTGAAGCGTTAAACTTTATAATTAGAGATGAAAATAAATTTTAGGCCATCATAAATATTTTGGTACTGAAACGGTATCTTTCAGCATTATTTACAGATACACCTAACTTTGAATGTTTAGGGCTTCTGCCCTATACAAACCACACCTTTCTACTAATGCTACAATGTTATTACTAAAACAAGAGCATCCATACATACTGAACTGTCGAATCTCAATTGAACTACTAAGAGTATGTGTTCATGATGTATTTTTATTTTTTTGTATAAATCAGAATAAAGTTAAGTTTTGATCATCCAGACTTCATAATAAGATGTACATGATAAAATTATGTAAAAATATTCTTGACAACTTAAAAGATCAAAATACCTCCAAACTTCCATGTTGTATTTTCCTTTTTCAAGTATTGGAAATATTTTTTATATAATTTTATAGGTGTTCCCTATTTTGAAGTATAGATGGCCCAAATTTGAGCTCAATTGGATTTCTAAAGAAAGATTAAAAATTACAATAGTGGATATGCTGTCAACCATCCAATTGAGATTTGACGGTTGAAGTTAACAGTGCTCCACTATAGGGAATATGGTATAGCATGTTGTGTACACATACACACATGCAACACACACACACACACACACACACACACATACACTTGAAAACACCTGAGTGAGTCTGTGCACACTTCGCTCATGGTTCATCACTGTCCAACATTCACTAGACAACCATGATTGTTTTTATAGTGTTTGAGTTTTAATAGTTTTTTTACAAATAGGATTAACCTCCAATTTGGATGGTGCATGTGCATTTGTGATGTGCACCTAAAAAAAACAACAAATAGAGAAATTTATCAAAATACCGATGAGAGATACACTATTTAACATTTTACACATTTGACACTATTCGAACTCATAATTCTGTATCTTTTCATGGGTACTTTGAAATTGAATCAAATTATAATGGGTAAGATATTAAATAGTTTGTTTCTTATATGTATTATGATATATCTGTTAGGAAACTAATTCAAATGATAAAAATGACGACAATACCCTTATGAATAAGGCAAGGATATTTTGGTGCTTTTATTTTTAATTATTTTTTTTTATATTTTATTTTGGTGTATCATGTTTATATGTACACATGCCTCAAATATTAGGTAAATCGGATTTGTAGAAAGAAATATCAAAATTCAAACATTAACAGAAAATTAGGGTTGTCGGATGGAGTTTGGATGGTGATGAGCTGAGTGAAGGACTATAGAAATTGACTCATGGGTAATTTTAAGTATTGTCTACGCATACATATATTGCTCTATGGCATTGTTTAGAGCCTTGCCGTTGCCAAGTTTGCACATTTATTCTGTTGGTTCCTGCGAACGAGATCATTAAAAAACTTTTGAACAAAAAGAAACTTAACAAATGGTTCTCTCAGGGAGTGACAAAATGCATTGACTACAAGCCATCCATCCAGGTGTTGTAAGTTAGATTGACGTTTTAAGGGATTTATTTGATCCCAGATTTTGTTCATTGCCTCATCATTACCACATGAATCACTAAAAAGAGAAATGAATTTGTGAGGTCTGAGACTAGACATATGACCATTAAAAAATGTACAATCTGTATTCACATTTAACAGCAATTTTTTTTTTCTTTTTCTCTTTTAGGTTGCATATTAGTATTTGTTATTGGGCTTTACACTAGGATGAGTAAGGCTTATGCATAGAACTTGGTATCGAAAGGTTGTGCTAGCTATGGTTTGGTGCTACTAGCGTTGACAATGTACCGGTACTCCTAAGGTGGACTAAATCTTTTTCCCCATGTCTGTAGAACACCGGCAAAACATAACAAAAATCAAAGTTTCTTCTATAAACCTGAAATATTTTCATGTATGGCATATATTCATGGGCATACTGAATCTTCTTCATGCAGGCCACCATGGATGGTCGAAACCAACCCAAAAGAACTTGGATTGGGAATATACGTTTGATTGAGAAAATAACAGTGAAGACTAAAATGGTCACCAGAACTCATGTCTTCTTCACCTGCGGTGCTATTTTGGTGGCTTTTCCAATCTCCATCTAGCAATTTCAGAGGCAGTGTGCTGTCGAAAATGTTGCCTCATGCTGCTGAAAACTGATATGGTTCCCACAGTATATTTTCCTTGTGTTCATGGGGTGCTCTCTTCTGCATGCTACGTTTCCTTGTCCTTTTTCAACTTTGCCTTCATCCATTTGTAATTTGCAAATCTTTACCATAGACTGGTTACTTTTTATTGTTTTGTTTTTCTCCTCATCTCCGGCAATAACATTACTATTGGGAACTGTGAAGTGTGAATGTTGTTTGCAGCAGTCCCAACAATAGCAGAGGGAATGGGTTGTAAGATTCTTTGTAAATTTTCAGTTAACATTCATAGTAACATTGGGATATAGTTAAGCTCTGCGTCATTTGCACTGAACCAGCCTATGAAATGCCAAGAAGTTTAAATGCGTATATTTGTTCATTTCTGTCCATAAATTGTCGTGTGAAATGGTTTTGTGTTTCTGTTTATGTTCCTTTACTATTTTTTCTTGACATTGTACTTATATTTCCAATCGAACATATGAGGATTTCTCCACTTTCTTAAAGCTCAGAAATAATCTAGAAGTAATAGAGATTTTTCCATCATAGTCTTCTATGACAGTTTAATTTCCTCAAGGGTTGTTGCTCTTTTAGTTATTTTTCTATTTTTTATTTTGACAGTAAAAGCCGGTATCATTTAGTTAAATTTCAAAAAAAGAAGAAGCCAGAGTCATTTGGACTTTTAATTACTTTTAGTTATGTTCTAATTACTTTTAGTTACGCGGGAGTTATATATTTGTTTTTGGTGTGTAGAGAATCCAGGGGTAGTTTGGTTATTTAATCATTTTGTTTGACATTAGATAGTCCAACTTATAGAATATTATTTTGGAGAATTTATTTTGTGAAGAAAGAAAATCTTAGCAAGGATTTCTTGGAATATAGATTGAAGGTCAGTGTCCCTCTCTTTCAAGGTATTTTTTAATTTCCTCTTCTCTTCTTTCTATTTTTAATTTCAAAAAATAATTAAAAAATTTAAAAAATTGTCCTTTTTTTTTTTCCCTCGCTTTTTTAGTTTCCTTCTACTCCTTTTTTTTCCCTTTTTCTCTTATTTTTTCTTCCCTTTCTTTTTTCTTTTATATAATCCATTATCTCTTTTCTTTTCCTTCTTTTTTCCCCCTTTCTAACCTCTTCTTCTTCTTTTTTTTTTTTTCGAATCTCATATTTAAAAATTAAGTCCCAAAATTTTCCATGCCTAATGCAGAACCAATTTATTCTACATCTACTTTTTGGGTTGTGGACTAGTTTTAAATTTGATCGGGATGATTTTTTATTTAGTTGATTTTATTTAAGGATAGATTTCAATCCAGTATGGATTCAAAATCTTACCAACTAAATATTAAAATGAATTTTTAAAATTGCGTGTTGATTTTGCGAGGTGAAAACCTATGAAAGTTGTAGTTTATTGGCCCCAATTTAATCTGAAGTGATATATGAAATACGTTTTAAAGGTTTGCAATCGAAGATTATTGAGTGACTAATCAAAGGTTGCATCAATTTAGTATTAGAGCAAGTTGTCTTGGGGCTAGAGTTTTAAAGTGCCATATTAGATTTTTGGGAAAACTTAGTATATATATCCGTTATATTTGCTGTTATCATAAAAATACTGTTTAGTTTATATTACTACAGATATATCTGTTTTTTGAACTTCATAACACTTTATTTCAAAGAACAGCCCATTTTTGGTTTTTCAAAAATCAAAATTCTTAAATATTTAGGTTTTGCAAAAATTGAAATTTAAAAAAATTAGGTTTTTGAAAAACTGAATTTGTAAAGAGAAAAAACTTCGAAAGTTTCATAGAAACACCATTTCCTTTGGGACTTTTCAAAGCTCAATGATTTGAGGATTTCATCCATTGTTTTCATCATTTTTGATATTCAAGAGAACTGAAATTCAAGGATTGTTTTATTAACGATAGAATGAGATTGGGCAATGTTTGCATCCCTTGCATTGATTTGAACCTGGAACCAATGTCCAAGTTACCCACAACCTCTGCAACTTTCATGGCACTTGTATACACCCATATTTGGGGTGAAAAAACAGGAAATCCTCTGAAGTAATGCGAGAAAAATCGTTCTATTGAGATCAGAAGAGGAGATGAAGACTCGAATGGAGGGAAATGAAATAGAGAGAGAAAGATGTCACAATTATTTTTTTTTAAAAAATCTTTTTGTGTGCCCTAAATTGTAACAGGGTGAGGTCTAGGCAGGAGGAGCGAAATCGATTCATCCCTTTTCGAACGTTAGTTTGAAGGTGGTCTTTTGAAATGTTGGCCTTTAAGGTGTTGCAGAGGCGATGGACGCCGACTTGTGGGCGGGCTTCGACTGATGTAGTAGAATTGTTGAGCAGTGGTTTAGACCAATGTTTGAAAAAATGGCAAGTCACAATGGACTCGCCCGAGTCGACATGAAAATCGGTCAGCCTATGTCGATTCCAGTAAAATATATAGAATCGTCCGATTCTAGAGAAGAATCGACGATTCGCTATAGTGAACCACCCGAGTCACTGTTCAAGAATTGGTGAACAGTGTAAAGCATGAAATTTGGATTTTTTTGATCAATTATGAGATCTTGTAAGCTTTGGATCGAATCTTTGAGACTTTAGCTATCAATTTTCAGTCTTATTGATCATTATATTCAAATTGAATGCTCGAATTTAGATAACAAATTATCGATTTTGTGAAGAACATTACTTTTTTTAGGTTATCAGCCATTTGTTAGATTGCAAACAAAATAGGGGCACTATTTTTAATCAAATCAAAAGGTTCTCAAATCATAAGGTTCTTACTCCTGACAGTGTTATGGAGCAGACATTATACACTATTTTCCTTTAGTTTAGTCGATTACAAGTCAAATTTGGGTTTGAAGTCACGGTTTTAGAAAAACAGATAAGAGCTTCTTTTTTTCCGCCATTTAATTGATTTCAATTGATTTTTAGCAAATATTTTCTTCATATCATAGGGTTTTGGTTCATTATAATGTTATTGATCATAAATTTATTATTCCATTTTATCTTTTTTGTTCGATTTGAGGTGAATTTTTTATTTTGAGTTAGTTTTCTCAAGAACAACTAGGGCTTTTTTTTTTTTTCCCGCCAAACTATAAATTTCAGATGAATTAAAGCACCATTATGAATTATTTCAGAGGGTTTTTGAAGTTAATACTTTTCTTCATATGATTTTGCGTGTAATTTGTGGGATTAACCAATTTTATTGCTTGATTTTTAAGAAATGGAGTTATGGCTGCATTTTAGAAAAAGAGCTAAAAAATCCGCCAAGTTGAAGTTTTAGCCGAATTAGAGCAACATTTGAATGATTTCATTGGGATTTTGAGGATAACAATGTTCTTCAAACGCTTATTGGTGTTATTTATGTGATTAACTAACTTTTGGTGATCAATTTTTTTTAAAAATCGTGATTGTTGGTGTTTTTCAATTTTTTTTTGAAAAAAACATCATTTTCTGAAAAATAGTGAAAAATCGTGACCAAGTTTTGATTATCATGAGAAATTAACTTGTATTTTTCAATTTTATTGTTAACAAAAAAATGTATGTTGATACATAAAATGTATATATATTCTTGATACATATTTTATAATTATACTATCTTGAATGATTATATCATTGTAGATATTATTTGTGGCATTGTGAATGACTATATCATTGTAAATATTATTGTGGCAAGTCTATATGTAGTGGCATTGTGGGTGACTATATTATTATAATCTTTATTTTATTGATACTATATCATTGCAAATTTTTTTTATTTATTTTTTTTTGATTTTAAGTTTGGCTTATACATACTCTTTTCACCTATAATGTTGCATAAATATTTTTGTTTTGCCAGTACGATCTAATTAATGCTTGTTAAAATTAAGATTTGTAGCTAGTTTTCATTTCGTGGCATTGTGAATGACTATATAATTGTAATTTTTTTTTTATATTGATACTCTATCATTATATATATATATATATAGTATGACTTATACAAACTCTTTTTATCTATAATGTTGCATAAATAAATGTTTTTTCCTGGTAAGAACTAATTTATTATTGTCAAAATGAAGTTTTGTGTCGAGTCTATATGTAGTGGCATTGTGAATGACTATACCATTGTAAATATATTTTTTATTGATACTATATCATTGTAAATTTTTTTATTTATTTTTCTTGATTCTAAGTTTGGCTTATACATAATGTTTTCACCTATAATGTTGCATAAATAAATTTTTTTGCTAGTAGGATCTAATTCATGCTTATCAAAATGAAGATTTGTGGTGAGTCTACATGTAGTGGCATTGTGAATGATTATATCAATGTAAATTTTTTTTTATTGATATTATATCATTGTAAATATGGTTTTCTTGATTCTAAGTCTGACTTATACAGACTCTTTTTATCTATAATGTTGCATAAATAAATTTTTTTTCCTAGTAAGAACTAATTCATTCTTGTCAAAATGAAGATTTGTGACGAGTTTATATGTAGTGGCATTGTGAATGACTATACCATTGTAAATATAGTTTTTATTGATACTATATCATTGCAAATTTTTTTATCTAAATGTAGTGGCTGATACAAACTATTTTTATCTATAATGTTGCATAAATAAAATTTTTTTGCCAGTAGGAACTAAAATATTTTTGCTAGTAGAAGTATTTTGTATGAACAACAAAGATAACTTCATGAACTACCCCTACACATTATCATTACACATGGTGATTATTTTTCATGTTAAATTATCAAGTTCATTTTTAACCATTTACATCTTAAAACAGTTGAACCATGGAAGATCCAGGGAAGAAGACTTAATCCTAACAAAAAATATAAAATTATTTGTAATTATTGTCAAAAAGTGATAAGTAGTAGGGTACATAGGTTCAAGCAACACTTAACAGGGGTTAAGGAAGATGTTCCTGCCTGCAACAGTGTCCCTAACAATGTAAGAAAGTAGATGACGATCATTGTCAAGGCTACCAAAGGTAACAAAGTTGCAAAGTAGATGATGGATGATGAGATAGCTGGTTTATATACGCCATCGAGCAGGATGGATCCAGAAGAGTAATATAATAATGACTTAGAGATGGCCACAAGAATGAGCTTGCATGAAACGTACCAGAGAGAAGCGGGTTAAGAATGCCTAGTGGTTATGACATGGGTATACATGATGGGCCCAGCCCAAGCATGCATGATAGGCCCAGCTTAAGCATGCATGGCGGGGCCAGCTCTAGCATGTATGGCAGGGCCAGTTCGAATTTGTATGGATGGGTTGGCGACAATATGTATCTAGCGGTATCAGACATTGAAAAAATCATTCCTGGTTTATCTAGGCGTAACAGTATTGTAGGTCATGGTCATATAGACCAATTTCTCTCAAAGCCCAAGTC